TCCTACTCGGTCATGAAAGTCGGCAATTCAGACGTTTCGATCTGCTCTCAGATCTTCTTCAGTGCAAAAAATGAATTCCGTTACAATTGTTTGCGCGCGTATATTTAACAAATAAATAAKGCTCAGCCGTGGTTTATACTCTGATAAACGCACGCTTGGTATTTGAAACACACGAGAAAATGTCAGGAAGCACGAGCTGAAAGCGAGGCTATATTTGTATTGTGTTTGGCTATATTTGTATTGTGTTTGGCTATATTTGTATTGTGTTTGTGTATCGTCCAGATGCTAATCTGGTCCATATATATATTTTTTTTGTAGGCCAAGGGGAAAACATGATACGTCATAGTAATTTTACCAAATCATGTACTATAGAACCAGTAGCTTCTATCCAGTGCACCTCAAACTCAAAGGCATGTGAGATACAGTAATTGCCATTGTAACGAATTATTGCATATTCATTTCGGTTGCTCTTCCTTTGCAAATCACAGTTAATGTGTACTGTCTTATAAGCAGGTCCAATGGCAATATCTGAGGAGTTCAAATTATTCATAATCAGTACATGCTGGTTTCACAAAGAACCCATTGAAACGTTTTTAACAACATCCATTAATGGCTACATATTTATTAAATCATATCGAATTCGAATATATTTTTAATTCTGAAATTGGACCTTATAATTAGATAGTAGAAATTATAACTGTCAAATTATTTTAGACAGAGTTGTGAATTTGTGGAGATGCAATATATGATAAAAAAAGAATTGAGGAAGAGTAAATTATTCCAGAAATTGAAACCTGGTGTATATAAGGATGGGAAATATAAAGCATCACACTTTGAAGGCTTTTCTTGCTGATGCCTGTGATAGACTATACTATCGAAGATATATGTCACTAAGTCAGAGGTRGCAAAAGTTAATGCCATCAAAAATGGTACTCTGYATTTTTTTAARTAGCTGTATTTTAATTAAAATAATGTAATTGCTCATACCTTGTTTGGAAGGAATTTGACTGCTGGTGCTTCTAGCTCTTGTTCGTTTGGCAAAAGGTACATGTCTAACATTAGGGTAGTTTTCATAATACTGTAAAATCTCTTCAGTGGATGAAAGAAATGATGGCACTGTAGGTTTAGAGTCAAAAATCACCTCAAACCAGTCCTCTTGAAATTTTTGTTGGATATCCTCAAACATCATAGAAGCATAAGGTTCTTCAAAGTTATTTGATGTAGTCTCTACAAAATATAATGAGATGAGGAAAGAAAAATGGAATTATGATATGAATCTGGGTTCCATTTCCTCCTTATTCAAGARGTTCCTTATTAGTCAAATAATAGATCAATAATTTGATTGCTAAATTCTTCACTTTCACAACCACAACACTCCCCATATTTTAGTCATATTAAGATTTTTAAAACCCTTTAACCGGCAATCG